ACCTGTAATAATGTACTATTATGAGTAATGAGAAACACTTTTCCTTTTCTTCGGCTTAAGACAGAAATATGCAATTAGACTCTTTATTGTTACTACGTTAAAATTGATTCATGCAACTGTAAGACAAATATTTTTTTCCTTCGTTCGTTCCCTTTTTTCTCTTTTCTAAAGAAGACTGTCAACGGTAAAGCCGTTTGTCGTGCATATTTCTAAAGAAAAGCACACAATTATAATAAAAATATTGAATTTATTCTTGCTTCTAATACCTAAGCATTTTATATACGTACGAGTCTTGCAGGATGGAACTTCGAAATGGGCGTTCGGAGCGCCGAAAAACAATAACGATAACACGGTGAGGTCAAATGTGTGTTTACACTTTAGAACGTAAAGATAGGGACGCGGATTATAAAAACGACGTCGCGATAGGCATAGCGAATTGGTTGTTGTTGGACGTCCGAGATAGACTTGCCATCGCCGCCGTTCGTGCAGAAGACTAGTGAATGTTACAAATCATTATTTTCTAATATCTATCGTGTGACCGTGGGGTCGAGCTTTGTTCGTCAGATCAGGGCGTGATAATTAGCCAACTTCTCTTAATTCCGAACACCGGTGTCGTCGTGCGTTTTCCTTTCGATATCGGTCAGACTTAGAAACTTTCTTGGTCGTTAGAACGGACTCGCCGTGCGTTTTCCCGGAAGATCCGGTGTGATCTGGAGATTGATCGATCTGAGAAGGACATCTCGTGCGCTTTTTCTTAATGTCCATTATACCTCTTGGTGCTGGATAGTGAGTCTTAGGCTGGGATATATTGACGATTTCCTCGTGCCTTGGAGATCTCCGACTGCCCGCCAGCGGTTCAAGTATGTATATTTCCCACTCGGATCGCCATGTTGTTTTTAATCAGTTATCGCGTGAGGTAATTACACGGAAGCTTGACTCGAGGTATCCTTCGAGTGCGCCTTCGGATCTTGCTCGACTCCCAACAAATAGACATCTAAATTCTATTATCATTGATTTATCTTTTAATTCTTTTTTACTTCCTCGAGCCCGTCTATTTATTCGGCTCTTGTGTATACACATCAGATAAATAAATAAATAAAGGAAGGAAAGTCATATTCAGGAACTCCCTCTCTGATGTTTATTTATTCCTCTTACACAACTAATCATCTAATCTAATCTAATTTTTTCTAATTTTTCAGATCTTTTCGCTCGAGCGTGAAACGTCGTTGAAATTATCGCGCCGCGATTGCAACGTAAAGAAATGGAAAGTGTAGTCGACGCTGTTGTGCGCACTGTAGTGCGACAGTTTGGTTTTCATCAGTGGACTTGGACACCTGGACGTCGTTGGATATCGCCGCGAGTTGGTGAGTGAAAAACACAAATGCGATGAAGCATAATTTTTCATAGTGCATGATTGGATATAAATCTCAATTGATTTTTCTGCGATTGAGAAAAGCACCACTCTACTGTAAATTTGTTCTATAACTTTAATTTTTAAGGTTAATTCTGGTGGGGAAGAATATTTTTCATTTTATTCAATCGTTGCGCCTTTTCGAGGCGCTATAAATTTGTCTGCGAAATTATTCAGTTTGGTGGCTTACAAATGCCCCTTATAATCGGTTATACGTTAGGAGAGAGTTATGCCGCTTTGCGTGTCGCAAACTCGTGTAAGGCAGTTACAAAAAGTTAGTGCTCGATGCTACCGAAGCTGGTACGTGATATTATGCGAAACTGCGACTTTGAAGCGCGCAAATCGATGTCGCGGGCGTACCTATGTACACGTACCTATGCTAGTCGAACACGATTGGCCATCGACATAATGCAAGAATTTGCCTGGAGCGTGCCAAGTCGTCCACTCGAGGCTCGAGAGTTTTGTTAGAGCTCGCGAGATCGCCAACGGGATTTTGTATACTTCCATGGAAATGACGTACTTGAGGGTGAATTCGGGCTTAATCGGGCATGTAAAAGCCGCAAAAAGACGCAGTTTTCGATTAAACATACCTGAAGATACGGATGATGGAACTTTGGGGTTTAATAAAAGACGAACACTTAATATTCCGTTCGTATTAAGGAATAAAGAATTCGCGTTGCAGGGTTTTGAGATATTTCGCGGCTACAAGAAGAATTAGATTGAATACGACGACAAAAATTATTAAATTGCTACAAAAATTAGATTGAAGGAGAATTTAACGCTGTCAGAGGAAATCTCAATTTTCCGCGACTGTCTGTCAGTTAAACTCATAATTCTGTTTCGTTTGAGAGTGGTCAATTAAATATTAGAGCAAATAGTAATCGCTCGCGACAGAGCGGCGTGCAGTGTCGAGATTGTCGAGGAGAGAAACGAAGCGAAGAAAAAAATATACCGATACACATGTGCGGAAAAACTTGGAGCACAAAATGGATCAAATCACATGCTTTTATCGCACGCTCGATAAACCGTGGACGCGTTTCGTGGACGGATATAGTTCTACCATTTCACTCACCATGTATACATCGCTAGCGTTCTTTCATATTCTAGAGCAATATAATTAGAGGAATCAAGATGCCTCTTGCTCAATGCGCGAATTTCTAAGCCCTGATATCAAGGAGGTCGATCTCGGAGTCGAAATGAAAATGAATTTTTAGATTACGTCAAGGGCGGCGCGTTGTGGTTGCAGGAAATCAGAACCGACCGATAGAACGATGCGGAGCGAGCGTGACGCAACGTGACGCAGCGTGACGCTTTATAGTGTGAAACTTCAAACACACACACACACACACGCGGTGACAAAGTTTGCGTGGAACGAACGTTAATAATAATTAAAGCTTTTTATGCGGTCGCGCGTTTTTTCATCGATATATTCGCGACTGCGGCAACAGTCTCAGAACCGCGGGCGAGAAGGGAAGGTTTGGGGGGAGGGAGGGAGGATGCAGAGGGCAGTGCGCGGGAACTTCTTCGGAACCATTATTTTCTCTTATGAGAAATTTAGGGTACGTCCGTCGGGGAATATTAACCGCGTAAAGGTGGCCAACAAGAAAGTACTTTCTGCGAATTTGGCCTATGCAAATACGGGTGAACAATCCGGGTAGGTCGAGCTTGCAAGCCCTCGCCTAGTGAAAAAGTTTGGACGCCCCGCGACGAATACTAATTAAAGACTTGCGGAATGAAATTAGTTAGCCGAGGAGTCGGGGGTGACTCCGCGAGGATGGACGATGGAGTCCTCGACTCGGCGCGACGAAGAGCCGCTTATGATAATATAATAATACTTACTTGGGGCCTCGGAGTGCTACCTCCAAGCTCATTATGCGTTTAGTTCATAACTTCAATTGGATTCTTACTATCCCTACTGAGCCGAGGCTTTCATCCTGCCGTTGTCTCAAACCATCCTAATTATACAAGTAATTACTATCGCGAAGGGGAACGTTTTCAGCTCATTGATTGGCCGCGATGATGCTGCATAAGCAAAGACGGACGGAAAGAGAGCGAGGGATTTTTCGCATTTGGAATATTCTGTTCGAGATATCCCGTCACTGGGTCAAACTTACCCGTGCGCTTTGCGATTTTATCGTGGCAGAAAATTTGTTAGTCGCCGACTTTTTCGATATTATTCTTTGTTCGCGCGTGAAACGCGCGTGTATCGGCAGTCTTCGATGACCGTGTCTTTTCTTTCGATAAAATTCGCACATTCGACCGGTTTGATACGGTGCATTTTCGCGGGGCGGGAGACAAAAGAAAAAGGGAGAAAAAAGGGGGGAGAGAGAGAGAGAGAGAGAGAGAGAGAGAGAGAGAGAGAGAGAGAGAGAGAGAGGTAGCGCTATTTATGACTTACCGCCGGTAAACGCATTTTAGAAGAGAAAAAGAAGAAAATATTTGTTGATCCCCGTCGCTATACGGGAAATTTTCGCAGGGTCCATACTGTCGCGCGCTCGCCGGGCTTTGAAATCAATCTCAGTACTCTGGAAACATGATAGTCCGACGCGAGTAGAACTTCTTCCTTCCTCCGCCTCGGTCCATTGAAAAAAGGCTCTCGAGTCCATCTCAAGGTATCGATTAACAAACACTCCAACAGCTAGTGCTGCCTTTGTAGAGCCCGCTTTGCAGAGTAACCGCTCGTGGTAAAGCCGTTTCGAGCTTTCCTGAATGGCGCAGTGAAAGCTTTCTGTGCGAACGACTCACCGAGTGTTGCACAAGAGGCGGACCTTTCGAACTTCACAGAATAACGCGACCATGCGCATCCATTTGTGCGCGGTAGAATTTCGCCGACCTAATCGAATTCCGGTTGCGTCGGCGAAATTTCCGCATTCGCGACCGACGAGCGCGATATTTAATTTAGCGCCTAGCCCGGTTTGGTATTCATGACGGGCCGCGCCGTGGACGTAAATATAACGCTTCTGACGGAGTCCGCGGAAATATGTATCGACCCTTTGACTTTCCTTCCCGAAATCGCGCGCCCTTCGATTCGATTCTTGCGCTCGACAGAGACTCGTCGAAATTATTCACGGTCTTTGCCGTCCGTTTCCGACGAATTTCACCATCGCAACATATCCCCTTCTCTGCTTTTTTCTTCCTCTCCGGCGGAGAAGGGTTTGAAATTGTCGCGAAAAGTCGCGGTTGCGTTCCTTTTTTGCGCCGCAGTCCTCGCCGTGGATATGCGAGAGAGAGAGAGAGAGAGAGAGAGAGAGAGAGAGAGAGAGAGAGAGAGAGAGAGAAGGAGAGAGAGGGAGTACATCTCTGTATATTTTTACATCGTATCTCTCACCTCCGCCTCCCTCCTTCTAACCATTGCGAAGTTTCAACGAGCGGGGCGATAAAATAAGAAACCCGATGGGAGCGCCGTTTTTAGGTGGAAGGTCGCGTAACACGTAATGCGCGTTGATTTACAGCCGCGCGCTCGTTCGCGCCGACAATTGAACACTTTCACTCGCCGTATGCCAAGAAAACCATTTGTCACGATGGCAATCATGCACTGTGCTACACACTCGTATGCAACGACACGCTCGGTCGTGGAAAGCGGACTCACCTTCGGACTTAGGTGCGGGTGGTTTGCGAGTGGCCCAATTTGTCCGGATACTTCTGCCACCGAGCCATTGGCCGTTCATGGTGCCGATGGCGCTCTCTGCCTCCTGTAAAAAGATAACAGCAAGGAAAATCAAAATTTTCTAGCGCAACCTCGAGAGTCAACGCGCGTGCACGCGCGTATGTCGGCGTGTTTCGTGCGTTCACCGTCTAACGATCTCGCTTATCGCAGACGCAGACGTGACGCCCGCATGTACGTCGATACTAATTTCTGCCCGAGCTCCGCGGACGCCTCTCTTAACATCCGCTCGCCGACGACGACATTTAATATTTTGTGGTATTTTTCTTCAATTTCGCGCTCTCTCTCTCTCTCTCTCTCTCTCTCTCTCTCTCTCTAATCTGCGCGGAGCGGCTTTTCGGTTTTACAGCGGGATATGTATTTATCTGGCAGCTTCAGCCGTGCAGCTACATTGAATTTTATTCGCCGGTTTTCGCGTTATCGCGCCGTTCATTAATTCATCCTTTCGCCGCTCAAAGTCTCGGATTTGTGCAGGAGGCGTTTCGGACACAAATGCAAAATCTCTGTTTTTGCACACGTCACAACAACGCTATTTATTTTATTCCGCGATTGCTGCACACGCCGCTTTATCTGAGGTGTACGAATGTGTATGACTGGAGTTAGCGTTTGCAAAAGTCTTACTTTATGACGCTTCGCTCCGCTTGCCAAGCATGCGCGCCAAAATACACCCCGCGGCACGGGAAGCAGCGGGAAAGGGCAAAGTCGTGACACAGACGTGAAAGTAGCCGACAGGGAGTCGCGTAAAATTCGTTGACGCTCGACCGACGGATAATAATTGCCGACAATTATCGAAAACAATAGAATTGTATTTACGTATTATTATTATTATTATTATTAGTATTATTATGTGTGCGAGAGAGGGGGAGGGGGACGAATGAAAATAGCGCTCGAAAGCTCTTCCTTATTGTCTCTCGCAACGTCTGCAACAACAATCGCGGGGCTCCGTAAGAACCGGCGGCGGCATCCGCGCGACGCGACGCGACGCTGCTGGCGCGGGGGCGGGAGGGCGGCGGGGGATGATGCGCCGTATTCACACGCAAAACCGCGGATAAAACCAACAGGTATGTTGACGTCAATATTATCTGCGACTTATTGTTGATTCAGCCGCCGATATCCCGCCAGCAACCGTGGCCCTCTCGCGATCCAGGTCAACTTAATATACGTTTTGAAATTTTATTCGATCGACTGCACTCTTGATTCCCCGGATTTTCGCGAACCGCTGCCGGCGATCCGAGACATTTTCCCAGCGCGTCCTCTCGTCGCGTTTCCTCTCTCTCTCTCTCTCTCCCTCTCTCTCTCTCCTCCTTGTTCGAGAAGGGACGGAGAATCGCCCTCGGCGAAGGGGATGGTAACGTCGCCGCCGTGGCGGCGACGGTGCGGCTGTTCGCTCCGTAGCGCGCTTTCCAACAAAACAGAGATCCCGTGGTCGGTATTTAGCTCGCGAGCGCGGCTCCATTAGGCCATCTGTATAAAAAATAAGGCGAGTCCTCGCGCCATCGCGCGAGCGCGAGAGAGTCTCGTAAGAGGCTCGGGAGAGGGTGGAAAACCGCCGGGCTGCGCCGCGCGATACTCGTAACACGCGCCGTGTGCTCGCGCCAAGGAGATATACACGCTATGACACACGTCATCGGGGGCTGCATCGTACACATGCGCGTCCGGGATGTGCATCGGCGACGGTGGCATTCGGACGGCGGATTCGAAGGACGGCTAGTGGAGAGAGGATAGAAGAGGGAGAGGGGGAGAGAGAGAGAGAGAGAGAGAGAGAGAGAGAGAGAGCCGAAGATGTTCCCGACGCGAGGAATTTCTCCCGAAAAAGTTTACTATTCGGAAAGCTCCCCGGGTTTGTACGTAGCGAGAAAGAGAGACAGACAGAGAGAGAGAGAGAGAGAGAGAGAGAGAGAGAGAGAGAGAGAGAGAGAGAGGGGCGGGAGGGAGAGAGGGAGAGAAAGAGAGAGGGTGGAGAGAGGGCGCGAGGGAGAGGGAAATGCCTCGTTCTCTCCCTCTAGACTCCCGCGGTCTCTCCCTCCGCGCCTTTGCAGCTTCCACAGTGGTAGTTTAACCACCACTGCTCTCTCTCTCTCTCTCTCTCTCTCTCTCTCTCTCTCTCTCTCTGCCTGCCTGTCTGTCTGTCTCTCTCGCCAGCCTCAACCATTTGCGCCATTCCGGGGAGTCCCGGCTTCGCCTTTGCCTCATCTCCAGCCGTTACTTTCTTCGACGACGAGCGGGCTCCGCTGGCGAGAGGACTCTCCTCCGCGCGCGCAGAGTCTTCATCCTCTTCAACGGCCACTCGGCGCACTACCCCAGATAAAGTATTTCCGATTCGAATTTCCATTCCCGATATGACGGCGCGCGCGTTCTCGCGCGGTTAGCCTAGATGGAGCGTCGGGGCGACCGAATGCCCCGCTCTAAGCCGATTCTAAACTTCGGTCGATATCCCAACGCCTCTTCGACCCGCAGCCCCTGAAAACCACCACCGCGCTTGGCCCCTTCCGTCCGGCGTGACCAGGGCGTTTACGTGATACTAGAGGCACGACCGCTGGCTGCGACCGACCGACCGATCGACCGATCGACCGACCGACCGACCGACCGACCGACCGACCGACCGACCGACCAGCCGGTCGCCCGGCGGCTCGAGCTGTCCAAGCACCCATCAAATCGAATTTCTTCCGCGGTCGGCGATGCTATAGACGGACGGGAGCGCCATGCACCGACACCCAGCTGTTTTACACGCATTATTAAGTCATGCCCCGATACAACGTTACGCGCCGTCGGATTACGTGGCCTTAACGAAAGCTCGCCCTTCTTGCCGCCGCGTGCTCGCGAGGCAAAGCCTGATCGCGAGCGACCGAGAACTCGCGGTTCTTTCGCTTAATTGACGTTCAATTTCGCCGCTTCTCCAATTTCGTGCCGCGAAAAAGCTCATCTACAATCTTCGGATCGCCGGCGCCGGTGTCGATGAAACACGAGCGACGCGAGTGTCCGCGGCGCGATTGCGAAATTTCATTCAATTTCATTCAATTTGGCGACAACGAGAAGAACGAGAGCGAGAGAGCGAGAGAAACGGGGCGGGGGCGAGGGGTGAATGCTTCTAATCGGTTCTAATTTCTGGCCGCGGAATGTTCCGAGTGGTTTTTAGCGTCGGCGTCGGTGCGCGGTATAAGAATTCTGCGTGGCGTTTGACAATTTTCAGTAAAAACTTTACGATTCCATGACCAAGTAAAAATATGACTTGTTGTTTCAAAAACTTGCCGACTCGTTATACCGTATTCCTGTTTCGTCAGAAAATAGCGACTATTTGTTTGCAGGGTTGTTGTATATTCAATAACGTGTCGACGTGGCCGTTATGCATCCGATATTTTGACTGGAGCCGTAAATAAAATAACGTCGGCGGGCGCGAGCGTGCGCGAGCGTGCGCGCGCGCGCGCGCGCGAAGGCGCTAACCAATGCGCCGTAAATGACGCTTGCCGATCGTCTTTGTTTGCCCAGCGTGAGTATACAAATCTGTGCGGCCGCAAGTGCGCTTTTGTGTGCTTAAGGTCGTGAGTCATAACACCGTGCGATTTATCGATCAAATGGTAAAACAACAAAAGTTGACAGTAACTAGAGCGGCCCGAGACACTTACACAGCGAGTATGCGCGAGTATACATTGGCCAACAATTGCTAACAGGGGCACAGCTTAGACTACACGGAGGTGGGATCTCTCCGTCTCTCCGCAACTAGAATAGATATCGACATTGTGCCATATACCGCGAATGAAAAAAAAAGAAGAAAAAGAAGCGCAAGAAGAAGAAGAAGAAGAAGCAGTGACACGCACACACAAAGAGAACGCTTTTCGAAGTGACGTTACTCGGCGTCGGAAGAACGTCGCTGCGAAAAACGTTCCATTCGATCGCGCTCCGGACGAAATCGATGCATCCTGATGGAGACTCTAATGAAATTCTAACCGATAAAAAAGGATTCAATAAGACTTTCATAAGAATCGAAGGGAATAACGTGATAAAGATATAAATTTTACAGTCGAGGAGGAGAAGCGCGCTCGCTCGCTCGCTCGCTCGCGAGAAATACTCGAGGAGAAGTATCCGTTTGGCAAACACTAATATTTAGTGCGCGCGTTCCATTTCCATCGATTACGACTCGCAGCCTTAACATTCTCACTCTACCGACCTCGCAGCGGAGGTTCCCGCGGAGAAATTTTTTCCCCTTGCTCCAACATTACGCTCTCTCCCTGCGTTGTTGCCCCTCGCGGCCGCGGATATTTCCTGCTCGCGGTCGTAATTCGAGCTCGCGAATTTTCGATACGGCTGCGATTCACTTTTGATCAGACATGGGAAAAAGCGCGACGATTCGCCGCCGCGAATCGTCCGGCGCTCGCGAGGTCGCGAGGTCGCGCGCGAGAGCAACCTGCGAAGCGAGGAAACCGCATGCTCGTCTATTAAGAGACTCGGGAAATAGGATCCTCGCGGGGCGAAGCTCTTCACGGAGACGACGCGTCGAGAAAAGTGTTGCCGCGGTGGGTAACGCGTCATCCACGCTTGGACGAGCGTAGTACGCGGACATATGAAACGCGTGGAAACGGGGATGGCGGCGGTGGGACATTATAAAGCTCGGTATTCATTAAATGCAGCACTCGAGACTCCTCCTGTCCCCGAAGAAAAACGGGAATCCCGGGAATTCGTATTTCCTCGTGCGTCTTAAGAGAGCCAGGATGTTGGATGCTGGGCGGCGGCGATCAGAGCTCGCGATTTAGCTACGTGTATCCGGCGGTGGTCGAAGGATATAGTGGCGGCGGGACTGCTGGTCGTCGTTGCTGGGTGCGCGGGCGGGGGGCCGAGGCGGTGAGGGACGAAATTTTCGCGCGTGTTCCTCGAGGTTAACGGAGACACACTCGGGAAATTTATACTTCGGCAATAGTAATACCGCGGGTGTGAGGCAGGTGCCGCGGCGGTGGTCCAGATCGATAGGACATTAAAACAGAGGGGAAACGAGGAGAGGGTCTACCTTCGGGGCAGGCGCCTCGACGAATAACCCCGCCATAAACGGAGGAAAGCCTTCTTTTACTCAGCCGTACATCTAACTTCGCCGTGATTTACGTCGCGGATTTTGGCGGGTCACAGTAAAACTCCGGCCACTCTCCATTTAGCCCCCCTGAAAAATGATGTTGTAAACCGGTCGGTGACGGTCGGACGGATGCGGACCCTCCTCCCTCTTATTTGATCAGCGGAAGCCGGGTAGAATTGGAGTCTTCGAGTTTGACATACTACGGGAGTGCCGTCACGGCTCCGTCATGACCGTCGCAGTCGCAGTCGCAGTCGCAGCCGCGCTCGTAGCTCGTAGCTCGTAGCTCTCGTCTCGCCCCGCCCGTGTTCTTCCGGACTTTCGACGGACGATCGGAGTTGAATGCGATAATTAAAATGCTACTCGGCAGCGAATTATCTACCTTGCCATTATGCCGCCGTAAGTCTGATTTACATAAAATGGATCGAGTTTGCCGCCCCTTATCTACCTTAGCTCGCACGACTAGCCGGCATTAATTTGTCATTCCATTTTTGACTGTAATCTCTTAAATATGGAGTTACCGATGTTGTTTGTTTTAATCGACGCTTCGCATGCTGCTGCAGTTTCTACTCGCTCTCCTCTCAGCGCGAGGAGAGAGCTCCGCGGAATTTTCTCTCTCGCGAGCGCGATTACATTTTCGCAGAAAGGCTGCGGTAGTACGCCGCGGCCGCGAGTTGGCTTTGGGGGACGATGCGTAAAGTTCTCTTGTAAAGTCTGCAAAGCTCGTAGTAAGATCCTCGAGTTAACTTGGCGTAAGTGTGTTTTTGCCACTTAAGATATATCGATTGATACATGCTCGGAGATAATGAACCCATCTTATTAAACTTTTAAAATGGAGAAAGACTTCCTCTATACGCGTGTTTCTTTTCTCTTCTTCTTGTTCTTTCTTTCCCTCGTCGCCGAAAGGAGGGGTATCGTTCATGCTGTAGAAGCGAGACACGACGGGGAGACGCTAGGAGAGAGAGTTTGCGTTTCGAAAGCTACACATCTCTAACGGGCGCATCGGGAGCAGAAAGTAGGGAGTCCGAAAGTTCTCTAAGGGTGAAAACAATCTGTTGATGTTATGTTAGGGTCGACTAGTCTGGCGTCGTCTACTTTCAACGTACACTTGAACGCAACAAGTACAACTAAATGTAACGATGTTCTTGCGAATTTTGAGTACCGTAGCTAAGGCTCATGTGATGGGATCCGCTTATTATCTCAGCTACGGTATTACGCTAATCTTTTCCTAATTTCTTTGCTAATCTACTTGGTTCTAACGAGACAGAGAAAAAGAAGGACAGAGCGGGCTGATCGGGCGCCTTAACTTACCGCCTTTTTGACGAACGAGACGAATCCATATCCCTTGGACTTTAAGGTCTGCGGATCCCTCACGACTCTGCAATCTCTGCAACAGAAACATAGCGTATCTCGTGAGATATCGAAGAGCGGTGCGAGTCGGTGCGCGAGTGGAACGCGATTGAAGAGTCAGATTCAGCCGGTGCGCGAGGGAAGTCTCGCGACGGAGAAAGTTGCGCAGCGCGATTAAATCCGGAGCGCCCCATGCCGCCTGACATAAAACTTGCTCGATTAAGAGCTCCTCGCTATTTCAGTTCTTCCTCGTCCTCTGCGTCATTTGACACCAAGGTTGAAATCATTCTTTCATACATCCAATTACACTCTCCTCTTGTCGTCGTGAGACAATGAACATCGGTATGATCGTGTAGCGTGCGCGTGGACGAGTGCGGTGTAAGCGCAATGTCTAGCGTCGTCACGGATTCGCTTGTGCGATCGTTATCGCGATTGCGTTATTGCCGGGGTGGTCTCACAGCGACGCGGGGTGAAAGAGGCGGCGGGGGGTTGGATCTCAAATTGTTTCATGCGCAGTTGAATTTCGAAACGCCGCTCATATTCTCCGGCGAAAAGTGCCGGCGACATTGTCGGGCGAATTGGGAGCGGGCTGCCGGACCGACCTCGACGAATTCTTCCTCATAATTAAGATTCCAGTAGCGCCCGGCGGACAAAATTAGGAATACTGGAACGCGCGACGTGGCCCTGGAAGCTCTGCAGCCGTTTCGGCGAGAGAGCTCAAGGCGACGAGGAAATATTCTTTCGACCGATAGAGCGAATAGAATTCCGCGCCGCGCGTACGCCAGCCTCCCATCGCTTCCCCTTTCACTCTCTCCCGCCCTGCGCTTTTTCTCTGCCGTCTCCCAACTGCCGTTATATCCGGCTATCTGGGATTTTTTCGACCGCGAGTGGGAAATTTTCAAAAGACTGCGTCCCGCGGTATCCACCGTCTACTGTGCGCGGTGATTGATGTAGGCCACGCTGGAACTTTGATGTATGACACTTTCCGCGTACTATGGAATTAATTGCCCGTAGAAAAAATCGCTGGCGTGAAGGTGACAGTACCTGGTCTTCCGTCCTTTATTGTCTCCTCGTTTTCGTGATGGATGAAGTAAGTGCAAGAGTGCAGCGGGTAATTAGGAAATAGATAGCGCGGATAATCGGCACAAGTAACGCCCCATATGAGGCGAATATCTCCCGAGACGCGTTTTGTCATTGATTTTGAAGAAGCTCGCACGTTTCCGCGTTGTTTTATTTTTCCTTCAAATTGTACTTTCCAGAGAGAGAGAGAGAGAGAGAGAGAGAGAGAGAGAGAGAGAGAGAGAGAGAGAGAGAGAGAGAGAGAAAGCGGGAGCGGGCGCGGGGGTAAGCGAAAACGGTTTTGTCATGTCTGGTTAACGAGTCAAGCAATCGGGAAAGAATTCTGGCGGTGTTGCATAAAGCAGAGGTCCATTCTATTGAACATTAAAGGCAGAATATCACGACAATTGAAATATTATCCTGCTTTCCCTGCCGCCGTCCGGTTTGTCCACGAAACTCACAAGAGACACGGCCTCGCGGTGATGAGTTAATTAAATGCATAATGCGTAAAGCCCTCCCCTCCACCTATACCCATCATTTAATATGTTATGTTTAAAAAGTGTAGCAAACAACGTTTGCCGTGATACACGCGGATGGATTCGTAAAGTGAAGAATTGGTTGCGAAAGAGAAGAGAGAGAGAGAGAGAGAGAGAGAGAGAGAGAGAGAGAGAGAGAGAGAGAGAGAGAGAGAGAGAGAGAGAGAGAGAGAGAGAGGGAACGAATGCAAAGCGAGGATGAATAAGGGAAAGAGAGGAGGGTTCAAAGAAGGGTTGTCAAAAGGAACGAATGTAAAAGGGAATAAAAGAGAAGGCAGGCGGAATTACGCGCGTTTCAGGCTGCAGCCGGTCGGTACTTCCACTCTGTGCATCAATTTGAATGCACACCTGCCGCGGTTTCGCCCGTAATTAAAACGATTAATCGATCAAAGGACGTATCTGGGCGGAAGCGGAAAGAGTGAGGAGAAATTCGTACTATGTGTACACCTTCCTAATGTGATTGACGATGGGGAATAAATTGACGAATCGGCGGACGCCAATGTGAAATATGCTCAATAATTAAATGTTTCTTCCGCTCCTCCTTCCATCTCGCTTTCCGCACCGTCTCCACTCCCCCCCCCCCGTAACTTCCGTCTAGACGTTCCTTTGACGTAAGATAAAAACGAGGAAAATGAAACGCGAAAGGGAAAGGCGAAGCACGAAAACGAAAAAGTGAAATTGCGAGCAAGAGCAGAAATCACGGGATGAGAGAGGGAGAGAGAGAGACAGACAGAGAGATAGATAGATAGATAGAGAGAGAGAGAGAGAGAGAGAGAGAGAGAGAGAGAGAGAGAGAGAGAGCACACGCGAATTAGACAGTAGATAAATCCGGAACAATGAACCGTCCGATCGGTCGATTAATCTTTATCGGAAATAAATCGTAAGCATACACACCGCGACGCGACAAAGCGGCGTTTTAGCACGCCCAGCCAAGGGGTGATTCTTCAGTGGCATCACGTACCGAGTAATAAATGTGGGGCGGATAATTTTGATCGACGACGCTCGCTACCCCTCATGGCGCGGTGATACGCGCGCGCACTCGCTCGCTCGCGCGACTTCAAAGGCCTTTTGGAACCGCAATATACCGTTTCCGATTGCTTTTGCGCCGAACGGTCGGCGAATGTCGTAGTTTACGAGCGCGGAATGTTGAGTGGTCAATATACTAAGTTAGATGTGGAACACGCCGCTAGTCGCCGCCTATGCCGTTGCCCACACTTCACATCGTTCACATCGCGTATCCGCAGCCGCCCCCGCGCGCTCCCCCGTTTCGTCGATATAGATATGAGAGCCGTTCTCTGTGTGTTTCTCTTCGCGGTATAACGCGCCGCTCGCTCTCTTTCCTTTCGCTCGTTCCTCTTTACGGTCGTTTCTCCGGCCGGGCCGTTCTCTCTCACCCTCCCCCCCCTCCTTCTCTCTCTCTCTCTCTCTCTCTCTCTCTCTCTTTCTGCGTAGAGCGAAACAATCGGCACGTCGAGCGAGCGCGCGGTGAATTTACGTTCCTCACCGCAAATAAAAAATGGAAGAGAGAAATGATAGAGGCTGGGAAAAGAGGGGAAAAAATGACGAATTAATGCACGGTTATTGATGCGATAAATCTCAGAATTTAATTCAGGTTCCGTCGAGTCCTGTGTGCGTCGCGCGACACGCCGTCGTCCCTCCCTTTCTTTCTCGTTCTTTTTGGCCGGTGATGTAGCCGCGACAATGCCAGGGACTCGCGCAACCCTGGCAGGCAAAGCCTCGATAGGATAAAGAGTAAGTCTGGATTTATTGCCATCGAGCCAGTCGAACGCGATGGACGTGAGGGTAGAAGAGTTTCTGCGTGGGTGGATGGGTGGTGGTTGGTCGCGCAGGAAGGAGAGAAGTGATGATTCAAATTGCGCGCTAGACGTGTGTCGGTGAGTGGTGAGAGACGAGGGTGTCGCGTTCTAACAATTTCGAAGCCGCGATTTCGTGTCGACTTTTGGATCGCTGTACTTTTCGGCCGGTGTCGCGACGTTCTCGCTATCGATATTGCGACCGAGAAAATTGCGTAAAATAAAAAATTAATCGCTACGCACTTTTGAAATTTGCCGGAAAAGCGCGCGGCGCCGGCGCCGGAGACGAGGCCGGGCGACTTGGCGCACATGAAATTTCCGTGGCTGCAGGAAAATTTGCATCCAAGGATACACAGCGTAAGTTGAGATTTATTGCCGTCGACTAGGTCGGGCGTGATAGACGCGCGGATGGAAGGATGGGCTGTGTCGATGTTTCAAATTGCGCGCTGGAGACGTAATCCGCAGAAAGATTGGGGGCGCTTGTGTTCGTTCTATCAATTTTGAAATCTTGACTCCGCATTGTTTATATATAAGCGCGGTATCTGTTACGATTATACGGGCGACGGGAGGGCGCTTTACTTTACCTTTCTCTCACACACACAAACACACACACACACACACACACACACAGATGGTTGGATTCCCAAGGCAATCCAATCAATTATATTAATAGAGTTACATTTCCGAGGCTTTTACCCGCCTCGGAAGCGATATCTCTTTCGCTTTGAGATCTGTACGCGTGCGTTTGTGTGTTGGGATATTTTATATAATGTACCAATTAAACGTTTATCGACTCGAAATCGCAATTACATAAAATATTGACGACTCGGGGAAGCTATTGCAGTTATGACGGATAATATGGAGAGGAGGAGGGTCTCAACATTTTATCGCGTTGATTATGGTCCCGTTCAGTCGAGTTGAGTCGCGCGAAGCCAATTTCCTTAATGCGATTTAATTCTTTTTAAACAAGTCAAGATGGTTGAAACGTTTAGCAAGTTTCTGGATTCTGGTCTCTTTAATTCTGAGGCGAGTACAGCGGGGCTTGTAAAATTCCCGCTGGTAATTCTCCTCTCTTATCTCGCAAAGTAAAGTCCTCGGGCATTGACAAAAGCCCGCTCGCCGCTCGACGATCCAATTTTGATAATTAACATGCGATTCCGCTCGTGCGGTATTTACTTAACAATTGCCAGTTTGCGATGTCCGCGCCGCCGTACGTATTTCGTTTTGTAAACAGCGTGCTCTTTTGCCAGAATGCTCGATGCATTTCAACAAGTTTAAAACCGGTCTCCTTGCCTTCCGCATTTTGTTTCGTATCTCTCCCCACCCTCTCTCCTTCCTCTCTCTCCTTCCCGTCTGCTACCTTTCCGCTCTAACGCGCCACTTCCCCTCCGCAACCGCGCACCCCTTTCCCCGTCCATGCTCCGTTTTATTATTTTGGAAACGCTCGCAAAAACACGCTTGATCATAATATCACAGTCGAATCTTCGGCCGCGAGAAAGTTCTTCTCGCGTTTGCTTAGCGCGAGAAATCAGCGCATTGATGAAACTTTGCATTTCGCGAGCTTCGCTTCGCTCCGCGCGTCGGAAAAATCCTCGGGCCGCAATTTTCCGCAGATGTAACGACGAAAT